TTTATCATAAAAGCCTAACTCGACTACCTGACATTCAGTTTACAAAAGTAGCAGGGGATATGAAATATCTAACGGAAGAACAAGGAATTTAATTAAAAAACTCCAACCTTCTTTAGAGCTTAAATGGAAAATAGGTTTTTATTACCTAAAATCATAGAATATTTGTAATGTCTGCTTTTGCCAATCAAGCTTTAATCAGGAATAATGACTAACCTCTTCTCATTTTTGAAATCAAGGGAAATGAGATAGTTCAGTGTCTATTCAAAAATTAGTCAATATATCATCGATATAACTAATCATTTGCAATAGTTAAAGACTAATTATTGATTAGAGTAGGAGGATTTGGTGTGATGAAGCCTATGAGAACGCCAACATAGAAAGAAATTGGGCCGATGGGCCATCGAGATTAGGACATATGCTATAGTTCGACTGTAGAAAGCTATTATATTGACAACCAAGGATTTTTAAAGGGTCCGCATTTTGGAGAACTAAATGAATGCAGATAAGACTGCTCAATATCCATCCAGGGGAAACACTTATATGTTTATGGGGGCTCTAAGTACGACAGCAAAAGCAAAAAGTTGCTTTCTGTAAAATCAATCGAGAGCTAAGATATAAACAACCCACAAAAGCTATTTAAACTTTTCAAAGTAAAAAGAATTTCACAGTTGGACAAGATCCGATCATTGATCCCGCTAGATGATAGTTCAATTTTGATCTTTGGGTAAAAAAGCAAGGAAGCTTGGTCAAAAGGGAAAATAGTTTCGTCAAGCACAGAATTCTAATGCTTCACTGTTTAAATAAATGATTAAGAAGAGGAGAAAAAGAATGATCAAGAAATTAAAGTTATCAGAGAGATTCCATGGTCAACTGCTAGTTTAAATTAGAAGAAGTACAATATTGATGAAATGCAAGCCTATTCTAACTTTTAAGATGTTAGAATTATAGGTAAGGATGTATATCTTACGAATTGCTATGGATTGTGCAAAGTTTCATTGGATTAATAGTACCTAACATTTATTGCTTGCCCTGAAATTTGCTGCGAAATATAGGCATATCAATTGGAGCCTGAATTCGGTTCTTCCAAAAGGGGTTCAGATAAACCATTTTTAGCTATGAAGAAGACAGTTACTGGAGCTAAGAAAGCTAAGAAGAAATCTAAATGATTTGAGATATGAGCAATTTTGTATGATAATCTTTTATGATATTTTTAGATTTATTTTCTAAATATTTAAATATTTATGCTATTCTACCAATAATTTAATTGAAAAAATCTTTTCTTACCTTTACTTATTGATATAGTAGTTTTATGGGGTTTTGGGGTTTTGGGG